TTGTACACGAAATTCTCACAATTAAAAATCTAATTTTCAGTATAGTCTACTTCTTGTCATTCGTGGTATACCATCTTTGAATGAGGGCAGGCATCCTATGGGGGGTAAGGATGTGCGGCTCGGAATAAGAAATCGGAGAACCTAGTTCGAATTCCCGTCGGGTTCATTATAATTCAGTTAGTCATTTATGCGCCATGCGTCATACACCGTTAGGCGATCATGTATATTTCGATACGTGACTGACGAGGCAGAATTTTCTCCCGCAGTAGGTTGACATTTCTTTCTGCGATAGACCAGTTGCCTTCAAGGCTATAGAACCCGGTCTGTCCTGCCATTACCCATAATTGGGGGGGGGGGGGGGGAAATAGGATTCAAGAGGAGGGACGTTGGAGTAATGAATAGCGGATAGGATTGAGGGATCGGAATGCCAAGTTCGAATTCAGTCGAATCCATTAAATTCACTAATACCCTTGGGGAAAGTATGAATCCTCTCCTTCTCCCCCCAGCTATGTGTGAATAGCTGGACAGACCGAGTTCTATAGCAAATAAGTGGAACATGTCTGATTGATTATTGACAGTAGGTGTTATAGCTTTTCAATACTATGTGCATATTATTTGGAATCCTCTTTTGAGTTGGACAATCGTGGAAATGGGGCTGATTTATAGTGAAAAGGGTGCATTGGGCAAAAAACAGTTGAGAACCACTGCTCTTCATTTCAACTAACTGATTGATTATTGATAGCAGGTGTGAAAGCTGATAAGATATAAGCCAGAAATCAGAAATCATGTAATGTCTTGTTTTCAGAATTTAAATTTGATCCACAGTTATGTAAGAAAAATGTCATCTTGTCAGGATTTTAATTAACTATCTAAAGGAGTCTGTTATGTGCCATGTGTGATACACGCTTAGGCGATCATGCATCATTCGAAACATAACAGACAAGGCAGATTTTTTTCCTGCAGTAGGTTGCCATTTCTTTCTGTGTTAGACCAGTTGCCATCCAAGGCTATAGAACACGTTCTGTCATGCTATTTGCCCATAGCTAGGGGGAGAAGAAAAGTATTCATAACTTTCCAAGGGTATTAGCACGTAATTGAATGTAATGGATTCGACTGGAATTCGAACACGGCTCTCCCATTTCTTGTTATTATTACTTACGTGCAAATAACGAAAGGTATGAATTCATCTTCTACTCCCAGCTAAAGGGTAAAAATAGTGTATCCGAAAACATAATAGCAATTCTAAAAAAATATTTAATGCAATATTCGCTCAGACAATTATTCTTACAATTCATACAATGTTTCGGTTTTAAATAACAGACAAAGGGTTGATAATCCATAAATATATGTAAAAATCAAACAAGCAATTCCTTTTATCCATGTTTTGAAGCTTCAGAAGCAATAGCAATCTGGTCTTTCATACAGTCTATCAACATTCTTCGAACCCACTTCGGACAGACTTTGATGACCCGGTGATATAATGGTTAACGGCTCAGAATTAGAAATAGGAGAACCGATTTCGAATTCCAGTCGGGTTTTTTACTTTCACTTATGCGCAAATAACCTTGGGGGTGGTATTAATCTACCTCTTCTACCGCCCCCAGTTATGGGTTAAATAGTAGGACTTGTATCTAGAAAATCATTGCTATTTTCAAAATATTGTTGATGCAATATTCACTCGCCAAAAACAAAACATTATTACAATATCCCCAAAATATTTCGGTTCTAAATAACACAGAAAGGGTTGACAAGTTGTGACATCCTGCATTATTAGAAAAAAGAAATATTCATAGAAATATGATTTAATTTTTTTATTCGGATTATTAACCAGTTGTTAGTTTTTTTAGACGAAGAATAATTCTCTAATTGTACTTAGGCGATCCTAAGAGAAAAAGAAAAATAGAAAGAGAAAGAAAAAGAGAAAGAGAAAGAAAAATGCAAAAGGCCGGTCATTAGCGAAAACAGGTGTCAAGAGGTATCGAGGTCGGCGCGCCTGACCGAATTCCAAAAAGACAATGGAAATTGTTTGTTTGGAAGAATAGAATTAGAGGTAATTAAAAGAAAGAAAGAAAACAGACTTGGTAAAAGTGTATGAACATATGTACGATTGATGAAAATGTCGGTCAAAGCATCTGGCCTACTTTTTGTGTAAAAGACTCATTATCAATTTGGAGAAATGGGATTTTTTTAGAACAATGGAAAACGAAAGATTAAACGGAGAAGAGTGTCTTTTGGGATGAGAAGGTGACCGCTGGAATTGTATACAGATTCTGACCTGTTAAAAATTGGAACCCCACAATGATGAAGTGAAGACATTTACGATTCAGATAATTAAGATTTTTGACTATCAGGTCTGGGCACAAAACAAAGAGGTGAAAACGATTGTTCTTGGCTCACAGATAGCGAAAATCCTTCCTGAAGTCACATCTAATTAGCGGCAGGCTGTTTTGACAAAGACCAGGAAGGTGAGAAAGGCCGAGATTGTCATTTTCGTACGTGCGAAAAAAAAGGCCAAATTAGATTTTTTTTTTTTTTAGCAAGGTGTCTATTTCCCAGAACAAAAGCCGGGATAAGCCACGCCCGATTGGAGACGTCACACGCCCAACCAGAATCTCATTGGCCGAAAGCGGTCACGTGATATGCGAGAAGAGGAGAAAGGACGCTCGATCAAGACCCATTGGTCGAAAACGGTCACCTGACATACGAGAGACCGGGAGAGATGGGTATGCGCCTCCCCACCAGAGGCACTGTGAGGAAGTAGGGGTGAAAATAAGAGCGATAATGGGAAATCAGAAGTAATGCGACTTTTGGAATTATCGAGAAAACCCTGACGCCGACAGACCCACCCCAGTTTGTTGCAGCGTCAATAAAAGCAGGACCCCAGTCGACAGAAATTAGTTGCAGCTGTACCGCGGGCAGCGAGGGAGCTTGAACGCGGGCATCGGGCCCGGTTCATTCGCCCCTTTGCGGGCAAGAGAATCCTAAGACAAGAAATCCTTCCAGCCCAAGTCGAAGAAGAAGAAGATTGCTCGAAAGCCGCAGAGAAGTTGCAAGATAAGTCGAAGATAAGAAGAAGGCTGAAGAACCAGGCCAGACAAGAAGAATTGCAGCAGGCCAGACAGGCCGAAGAATTGCAGGCCAGACAAGAAGAAAGAGCAGCCCCGGACGGCAGCAAGAAGAGAGGCCGGAAGAATTGCAGAGAAGGGTCCACCTCAGACGACAAGAGCTCAGACCACCTCAAGAAGAGTTTCAGTTCAGATCACCCGGACGGCAGACGAGAAGAGATCACCTCGGACGACAGAGAGCTCAGATCACCTCAGACGACAGAGAGCTCAGACCACCTCAGACGACAGAGAGCTCAGATCACCTCAGACGACAGAGAGCTCAGATCACCTCAGACAGGCAGACAAAAGTTGCAGGCCAAACAAGCAAATCAGTTCAACCTCAGTCGACAGAAAAGAGTTGCAGGACGGAAGAAGAAGAAGTTGAAATCAAACCAAGCCCAAGAACAGAAATTCGACCAAACCAAATCGAAGTGAAGAAATACGTCCAACTCAAGCCGAAGAGAAGAATCAGCTGTGAACGACTGGTAGAGGTTAGCCCCAGTGTCGAACTAGACCACACTCCGACATACACAATTCTGAAGAGTAGACAATTCGAAGTCTTTAAGTTGTATGATAGGAGCTTGGTGCCACAGTCCACAAAGCGGGTCGGGAAGTAAGAATAATTTTTTTATGTAACGAACATTAGATATAAAAGGTTGTTACCCTTTTTTATCAGTAATTTTTTTGTCTCGTGAGTTTTTTTCTTTTTACTTGTGTTTTGCCACCCCAGTCGGACTCAACTTGCATACGGCCCCAATCCCTGTTTGATCCCGTCTGTCTAAGATCTAATCACAACGTGGGTAGACAGACCGGAGATCAGTACAGTTACCCTAGTAACCAGGTGTTGGAAGCGGGTTGGGAAAGGCGAGACTAGTAATCATCTAACCAAGGGGTTGGAACGGCACGCTTGGAACAGCGAAGAGCGACCAGGAGGAGCGACGTCACAGTTGGCGCCGTAACCAAAGGTTTCGACCCTGGACCCAGTGCCCGTCACAAGTCGTAAGAAATCAAATCAAAGAGAGAGAGGTAGTTTAACACCGTTATTTTATAGTCCTAAAACAGCGCCACCTAGCCTGTGAAATTCTCTCCTTCTTTTCTTGTTATTTCTAAAATCATCAAAATAACACAGAAAGGGTTAACAAGTCGTAAGAAATCAAATCAAAAGAGAGAGTTAGTTATTTTATAGTCCTAAAACAGCGCCGCCTAGCCTGTGAAATTCTCTTCTTCTTTTCTTGTTACTTCTAAAATCATCAAAAATAACACAGAAAGGGTTGACAAGTCGTAAGAAATCAAATCAATCAATCAATTGCACAGACCAAGGGGTTGAACCTAACTTTTGACACTACTATGACTCACCTGAAGATTTTCACATTGTTTTTAATAATGACAACACCAATTTCTTCCTTCGCTCTAGAATTACCATTAACTCTATTACTTTTTACTGTGCTTACATCAAATGCAGCCTTTCCATTAACATACATCAACCACCTGTAAATGCAGCATATTCTCGTAAAATAATAAAACGACAAAAAAAGCAGAAATTATATGAAAGCTTTTTGCTTTCTACGTTGTCCCGAAGGTCAACTATTCTGGAATTATGTGGAGGATGTTTCCGAAACCAGCGACCGGAGAACAACAGAATACGTGGACTTGGCTGCAGGTGTCATGAGAGACCTCTGGAAACCACCTTGATGGCCTCGCGACATCTACCGACTAATCGAGCTATGCGTTTCAAGCGTCAATGTTCTCTCTGTGCTACAAGACGGTGCCGTGATTTAGAGATGGGTAGTATATACGAATTCTTACTGACGCCTGGGATGAACTTGAGTTCCAATAGGCGTTTAAATCAAAAAGACTCATTGAAAGTACAACTATTCATAATTGGAGAAAATTCAGTTTACTTGGTGATATCTATCTATCTATCTATCTATCTATCTATCTATCTAAGTCTGTTCATATCCATCTACCTAAGTGTGTTCATATCTATCTATCTATCTATCTATCTAAGTCTGTTCATATCCATCTAAGTCTGTTCATATCTATCTATCTATCTATCTATCTATCTATCTATCTATCTATGTGGGATATGAACACATCTATCTATCTATCTATCTATCTAAATCTGTTCATATCCATCTAAGTCTGTTCATATCTATCTATCTATCTATCTATCTATCTAAGTCTGTTCATATCCATCTACCTAAGTGTGTTCATATCTATCTATCTATCTATCTATCTATCTATCTATCTAAGTCTGTTCATATCCATCTAAGTCTGTTCATATCTATCTATCTATCTGTGTTCATATCTATCTATCTATCTATCTATCTATCTATCTATGTGTGATATGAACATCTATCTATCTATCTATCTATCTATCTAAATCTGTTCATATCCATCTAAGTCTGTTCATATCTATCTATCTATCTATCTATCTATCTATCTATCTAAATCTGTTCATATCCATCTATCTCAGTGTGTTCATATCTATCTATTTATCTAAATCTGTTCATATCCATCTAAGTGTGTTCATATCTAACTATCTATCTATCTATCTAAATCTATTCATATCCATTAAAATCTGTTCATATCTATCTATCTATCTATCTATCTATCTATCTATCTATCTGTGTTTATATCTATTTATCTATCTATCTATGTGTGATATGAACATCTATCTATCTGTCTAAGTGTGTTCATATATCTATCTATCTATCTATCTATCTATCTATCTGTCTGTCTAAGTATGTTCATATCTATCTATCTATTAGGTTGTCCCAAAAGTTCGTAAACACTTGTGAAAAATTGAATTTTTATGCAATTTTTAATTGTTTTTTTTAATTTCTCGAGAATTGGCTGATGAGCTTGGAGTTGGCAAATCGACAATTCACCGACACTTGAAGCAACTTGATTTTGTTCACAAAAAGCCACGCCAAGATCCGCACGAACTCACCGAAGCACAAGCCAACAGACGAGTTGAAATTTGCCGTCAATTGCTCAGCAATCCATTGGACGAGCGTTTTTGGGAGCGCATTATGACATCGGACGAGAAATGGGTCTATCTGGTCCAGCACAATCGAGACAAGCGATGGGATCAGAAAGGGCAAGAGACACCATCGGTTCCAAAGCAAGATCGATTCGGCAAGAAAGTCATGTTGTGTGTTTGGTGGAACTTTGAAGGAATCGAGCATTTTGAGTTGGTTCCGAATGGTCGTGCCATCAGTGCCAAACTTTACTGTCAGCAACTGGAGCGCGTCTACGAAAAGTTGAAGGAAAAGTACCTGTCTCTGATCAACCGAAAGCGCGCTTTGATGCAGCAGGACAATGCCAAGCCACACACTGGCAGGAGGACCAAAGACAAGTTTGAAGAGCTGGACGGCGTTGAGGTTCTGCCACATCCAGCCTACAGTCCTTACTGTGCTCCATCAGATTACGGCCTTTCCGCTCAATGCAACACTTTCTGAAGGGCCGCCGATTCGATTCGTTTGATGAAGTCGAGGAAGCGTGTCAAGAATTTTTTGATTCGAAGCCGGCAGAATGGTACTTTCACCAGATCCGAAAGCTTGCAGATCGATGACAGAAAGTCTTGGAAAATGATGTTCTTTATTTTGAGGAATAATTTTTGTTGTTTTTGTTATTAGTTGGCGAGTAAAATTTCAATTTTTTGCAAGTGTTTACGAACTTTTGGGACAACCTAATATTTAAGTGTGTTCATATCTATCTATCAATGTAAGTGTGTTCATATCTATCTATCAATGTAAGTGTGTTCATATCTATCTATCTATCTATCTATCTATGCTTTATATTTAAGGGGGTTTCTCTTTCATTGAAAGTACAACCGTTCATGATGAGATGAGAAAATTCAGAATCCTTTCGGTGATATCTATCTATCTATCTATCTATCTATCTCTATATATATATATTAAATTGAAGTGTTTAGCTTCTGTTTTTGAAACATGAGAACTCTTATGTAGCGATGGAATCATATTTTTTTTTAAATAATTATAATATTTATATATATATATATATATGTGTGTGTGTGTGTGTGTGTGTGTGTGTGTGTGTGTGTGTGTTTTGTTTTACATATGAGGGGTCTCTGTATCATTCAGAGTACAAAATTCATAATGATTGGAGAAAACTCGGTGACTGCTCTTTGACGAAGAAACGCTACTAAGTTAGTTTTACAGGTGTGGAATGTTGCAATCCGGTTCCTCCCTATTTTAAGTTATGACGTTAAAGGTAATAATAAAGCTGGTTCGGTAAAGGCCCTCGCAATGAAAGTTATAATAAAATAGCATAAAGTGCTGGATATAACTTGTTCTACGAGTTGGATGTAGAATGGAGATAAAAAAAAAAAGTGGTTGAACTCGAGGTAAGATTTCTTTAAATCACTTAAAAAAAAAAAAAAAAAAAGGTGGGGAGGTAAGCGTTCCCCGTTTCAAATCGCCTGGATCAAAGAAGATTTCTTTATTTCAGATTATCTGATCACTTTTAATAGTAACAGTTGCAGAGATATAGAGAGATGAAAAGTAAGAAAGAAGGACCTTACGCAAGAATAGTTAACAAATTATTTTTTTATTTTATTATTTTTATTTATTTATATAAGTAAATGTTCTCTGGGGGGTAAAATAAAATCAGTATCTTATATTCAGCAACAAAGCATGACAAAAACAGAAGGTCAGGATTATCGTAATCCCAGGGACTCGTCCCACGTCGTCGATACTGTGTAACTATGCGTCAATTGCTGGTGTAGATTTGACAAAAATAGATAGAGTCGAAAGTTGATTCAATCTGTCGTACCAGACAATTTTTTCTCGTCAGAATGCATTTGACACATTTATAAATCTACTATTCGTCTGCATAATGAATACTACTGTCATATCTAGTCAGTTGATTTTTATCATGTATCTTGAAATTCTCAACAAAATTCAAAGAAGGTGTAAAAGTACAGAAGACGTCCGCTGGACGTGCTTCTGAGCAATACTGGAAAAGCAAATGGCCGCCTCCTTCACACTTGTATTTATACAATCCAAAGGCAGATAACTCCGTTAACATCTATACAGAAGGGTCTTAATATAATCCATCCTGACCTAGCATCTCGAGTCACTTTCCCACCTTCGTGGCGTGTCTCCCTTCTGTCTCTTCTAGAAATATCTTCATGACAATTGTTATGCTAAGTTTTCTCCTTAGTGCATCGACTGCATGAATTTTGGCGTGCTACGGTGGAGTAATGGATAGCGGCTCGGATTGAGAAGTCCTATAGCCGAGTTCGAATTCCAGTCGAATCCATTACATTCACTTACGTGCTAATAACCTTGGGAAAGGTATGAATCCTCCTCTTCTCCCACCAGCTATGGGTAAATATCAGAACAGGCCGAGTTCTATAGCCGGGGGTGGCAACTTGTCTACCGCAGAAAAAATGGCAACCTACTACTGGAAAAAATCTGCCTCGTCAGTCATGTATCGAAAGACTAGTTTGGCAATTAGGTCTCACTGTTGAACTAGCTAGATGCAACCTTCACTTCTAATCTAACAGCTTTTTTTCTCACACTTCTCGCCTGTGTATCCTCTCTTATGGATTCTTGCTATAATATATATATAGAAGTGGCAAATTTAGATTGGTTTGGTTTGGTTTGTTTTACGGCATATCAACCTCAATGGGTTATTTAATGCCAACAAATTTTTTATTGCTGGCAATATTTTTTTCCTCCAAAAAATCTATTACTGGTAATATTTTTCTTCAAAAATGTATCGTTGGTAATTTTAAAAAAAATGTATAGCTGGTAATATATATTTTTTTAAAATAATGTATTGGTGGTAATAATTTTTCCTTCAAAAATTTATTGCTGGTAATATTTTTTTCTTATATTAAAATCTATTTTTACACTTTCATAGTGTTTTGACCCCAATTTGGTGTGGGTTAACTATTTGCCAATAGCTGGGACCCTAACGGTGCTACCATCACGGATCAGGGTTTATTTTTTTGTGTGTCTTTAAAACTCAGTAATTTTAAAAGTTACTCCAAAATTCGCTTGAGGATTAAATGGAACTAATGTCTTTAATTTAATTACAAAATTAAATTCGAGACTTTCAGCTTCCATTTTTAAACATGGTTAGAACTGTGTAGGAAAAAAACATATTTAAAATCAATTAATTTATAATATATATATATATATATATAAATCAAGAAATATGGTTTCAGGTGGCTTGATGATTGCGTTTATGTACCTCCACTAATTCGCCGAAAAAACAGTACAAACAGGCGCCAAACTTAATAAAAACAAAGTTTTATTACAAAAATGTTTATGTTATTATTAAGATGGAAGACCAAAGTATTTTTTAATTATTTTTAAAAAAACATTTTTAATCCTTTCTAGCACGCTCAAAATTTAGGTTAATCGAAACTGTATCTCATACGGAACCGTCATAAAGCCTGACGTGCTTTGTACCGATTGAGCCACAGAGGTGCGTTTCGATTAGCAAGGTCGATTTTACTGTTTTCTCTCGTACATTTGTGACGTCCCTAAACACAGCCTTCTCCGCCCCTCGCTGCTTTGTTCGGGTGTCGCTGCTCCAAACGTGACGTCCGCCTGTTTGCGTCAGTCGTGTTGTCCCGTCCTGTGACGACCAACTGGCTTGGTATCGGTCGCGGCACCCAAATGTGACATTCTAACCTTTTGGTGATTCGGATGGGAATCTGGTTAGATTCGATATCAGCCTCGTCGTTCCCAACTCGCTTCCAACGTCTGGTTACCAAAGTAACTGCGTTGATCTCCAGTCCGTTGTGAATTGATCTTAGGCAGACGAAATCAATCAGTAGTTGGGGGCGTAATGCGAGTTGAGTTCAAGCGAGGGTAGTATCGCACAAATATGTATAAAAGAAATAAAATGATAACTCAAAAGTTCAAGGTATCAAAAAAAAGGATAACAATACTTTATATCTAGTTGCTGGATACATAGGACTGTGTCTATCTCCCGACCCGTTATATGGATTGTGACACGTTGTTTTTTGTTAGGCGAGTTTTAACACTTTAAGTTGTCTGTTATTTAAGAAATTGGTTCTTGGTGTGTCTTCAGGCGAAAGTCAAAAAACTTATTTTGGTGGTATGGATCTGAGTCGCTCTTCAAAATAAATTGTTCTTGGATTGAAGATGAGTTCGGAAGTTGCGCGAATCTTAGTCAGCTGAGAGGCCTGCTTCAACTGAACACTCTTCTCTGCTGAACTCTCCGGGAAACTCTCCGGGAAACTCTGATTTTCGCTTGCTACGACTTTGCTTATATGAGCGCCGACCAAAACCGGGGTGGGTTTGTCGGGGTTGGAGGTTCCTCGACAATTCCAAATCCATATCCACTTCTTTTTATTTTTGGTTAGGAATTTTCCACTTTTTCCATTTTTGGAAGTCTTCTATTACTCCCACCTTCTCTTTATTCTCACATGGATATCTCACCGTATTTCAGAGGGGCGTCAACGGTTCTCCCCACTTCTTCGTAGCAACTTCTCATACCTATCCTCTAAATGGGCGGCTTCCCTCCTTGCGTCACGTGCCTGGCCCTCGTTATCATTCGGCCAATGGCGTCCAGCCGGGGTGTGTGTGATCCAGCTGGCTTTGTTTTAGGAAGAAAAAATATATCTTGCTCAAAAAAAAAAATTATCTTTTTCTTTTCCTTTTCTGTCCTTAATCGCAGCTCTCATCTTCTCTGGCCGCCAACAGAACAATGCGACCAGTAGTGTGATAACCTCAGTTCTTCATCTGGACGTCGTCAGTCAGATTTTTGCCAATTATCAGAATGGGTGGTCGTCCAGCAAAACACAGTCGACCGTCGTCTCGAAAGAACAGTTCCATTGTTCTAGTCATTCTTGGTGCCAATTTCTGATAACATAGTTTTGTTATCACAACCGAATTCTAACACCTATAGATGTCTTGTCAAAAACAGCCAAGTCTTGACTCACGGTTGGCTTCGTATGCGGTTAGCAGACGACCTATTAAATCCTTTCCCGACAATATTGTTTGCCCCCTCTGACACAGTTATTTTTTCTTATCTATCCAAAGCCCTGTATTTCACCTGTTTTTTGTCAATTATCAAAATAACATTGTCAATTGGAATTTTCAGCTAGCCGGTCTGTGGTTTGCTAATTAGATGTTCGCCAGCATTAAGCAGCTGTTGTCCAATCCCGATAACACAAGTTCGCCACCAGAACATAGACGATTTTCTTATCCATTTAGAATTTTTTTTTTTTTTGCAGTGGTAATGAAACCTTTCACCATTTGCGACTTATCAAAATAACATTGTCAATGTCCCCGGTCGTGTGTGGCTTCTTTTATCATCTAAGCTTAAGTCTCGCCTCTCTTTTCCTTTCTTTCCTTTCTTTTTCCTTTCTTTCTTTTTCTGCTGGTAAATGGTGTCACACATTCATATCTGCTCGATGCGTATCCAAATGTAAACAAATGACGTCACACATTATTTTAAGACATTTTTTAAATATATAAAAAAGAACGTATAAACATAAAAAATGTCATAAAATAATTGTCGGACTTTGTCCATTTCATAATGTGTGACGTCATTTGTTTACATTTGGATACGCATCGAGCAGATATGAATGTATGAGAGAAAATCATGGGGAATTGTAGTTTAAAAACAGTAAAATCGACCTTGCTAACGCTACTCTGTGGTTCAATGTGTAAAAAGCACGTCAGGCTATATGACGGTTCCGTATAGGACACAGGTTCGATTCCTGTGGAGTACTGATATTATCTATAAAAATTTCTTGTACATTCAGGCCGGTAAATGTCGTTAATACTGTTTATTAT